CACCACAGAACCCCTCCTGCATTCTAGGAAGAATGACAACTAAATGGTTCAGGTTGATGGCACTTTACAAATCCCAGTCTTCCAGGTAAGACTTGAGATCAGCTAATCTCTTCCAAAGACTAAGCAGCATCATGCTTGTAACCAAGACCATCACCATGTAAAGACCTCTACAACAGGTAAAAAGTTATTGCTTTCTCTTACCAGAGTACATTATCTAAATATATACTAGATTCTCCCCAAACGTATTATTCCAGAAATCACTGATAAACAAGAGCATCATGTATGTGGCCACGCAATGACAGAGTTCCTGAAAGTCAGTCGGCATGGTTCTCACCCAAGTCTGAATCCTTTATATGCCAAAGAGGAAGCTTAGAGCCCCTTCCTTCCAGGGTTCTTGATTTTAACCAGCAAGGAGCTTATGTTGCTGATAGTGACGTACCCAACAAGATTTGTAAAGAGCACACCTCACTTATCTTTTTGGCCCACTGAAAAAAAAAGTCCTAGCCTATGCTACAAACAGGAAACTTAAACTCAAGACATTACTGACAAAATTGTTTTAAAAAAGCTCTAGTGATGGAGAAATTACTGAAAGAATGGGACATATTTCTGCATTAAAAAAAAAAATCTTTATTGATCTCAGAGAGGAAGAGAGGAGAAACATCAATGACGAGTCATTGATCAGCTGCCTCCTGCATGCACCTACTGGGGATCAAGCTCACAACCCAGGCATGTGCCCTGACCGGGAATCGAACCTTGATCTCCTGGATCCTAGGTTGATGCTCAACCGCTGAGCCAAATGATAGCGGAAAATGTCAATTCTTTCAAAGATTTTGTTTCTAATATCTTTGCTCTGTTATATCCTAGGCTAACTGAAGATAACTAATCTTTCCCCTTATCTGACAGCTGTTTTCCTAACTAGATGGGAACTGAAGAGGGCATACCATGGCACAAGGTCCCTGTTCTATGCACGATTTCATTTACCTTTAATAGCTTTCCAACCATTGACTTTTCTATTAACATATATAATCCCCACAAAACAGATTCCTTTGGGACTGTGCATTTGCTGAATACAATAGAAAGGAACTGTAACAACCACCACCAAGACCTAAAAATTTGGTCTATCTCTTAAAACTTGGGAGAACCGAGAGATCACAATACCTTAGACGTTAACTCTAAACTGTGCAATGAGTGCCCCAGCAGGTCTGTCTCAGTGGTTAGAGCGCTGGCCTGCGGACTGAAGGGCCCCAAGTTTGATTCCAGTCAAGGGGACATACCTCGGGTGCAGGCTCGATCCCCAGCTCTGGTGAGGGCGAATGCAGGAGGCAATCAATGTCTCTCTCACACTGATGTTTCTCTCTCTCCCCTCCACTCTCTCTGAGAAGCAATGGAAAAAATATCCTGGGGTGAGGATAAAAAAAAAGTGCTACAAGCCCTGGCCATCAGCAGTTGAGCACTGACCTATGTCCCAGGAGATCGAGGTTCGATTCCTGGTCAGGGCACATGCCCAGGTTGCAGGCTCGATCCCCAGTCGGGAGTGCAGGAGGCAGCCGATCAATGACTCTCTCATCATTGATGCTTCTCTCTCCCTACCTTCCTCTCTCTGAAACCAATAAAGACATGTTTAAAAAATTTTTTTTTAAATAGTGCTATGAGCCCCAGGCTTCTCTTGAGTACTAAATGAATAAATGAAATAGATACCTTATTTAGCGAGCACAAGATTGTTACTAAATAAGGCGCCTTTAATAGTCCCTCCCACAGTTAATCATATTTGTGGAACTTATTTTGGGGGGGAGGGTGCAGTGTGCAGACTCAAGGATATTTCTAAGAAGGGGAAAATTTTTGGTCTATTGGCAAGTCACAGTCCTTCATAGCAGAGACCTGAAAGTGTCCCTATATCGACTTTATACTAGGAAAAAAAAGGTGGAAAATGGTGGTCAAGAAAACTTTTTCATTGGATAGATACTAGTCTATCCATAACTCTCAATCAGGGGTGGTGAACCTTTTTTCTGCCAGGGGCTGCTTAGATATATCATTTAAGGGACATACAAAATTATCAACTTAAAAATTAGCTATGTAAAAAGCTCCTAGATTTATTGAATTTCAAGTCCTGCCTGCTACAGTTGCCTTGGCAGGGCCAGACCAAGTGATTTCAAGGGCCATATACGGCCCACGGGCTGGACATTCCCCACCCCTGCTCTAAATCAACAGAAGTATTTTCATAAATTGAGATGAACATTTAAATTGAGATGAAATTCAGTAGAATTTCTGAAACTAAACGCAATCCCTTAATATCTCTTAAGGGATAGTACAGTTACTGGCTAAACGACCAGACTGCCTGGGTTGAAATCCCAGCTCTATCACTTACTAGCTGGTTGACCTTGACAAAGTTACTTAATCTCCTCGTACCTAGTTTGCTCATCTGATACCTACACCTCATATGATTACTGAATTTGAGATGCAATATGTGTCAGAGTACTTAGAACAGTGCCTTGCAGTTATAGAAGTATTGTTACAAAGGAATTACGTCACAAATGCATGTAAATTTTAACATGAATCCACCTTCATACCTAAGTAAATTAGTTCTAGCCTCTTGCCATATCATTTATAAAATTTGTGTAGAGTTTGAAAGTGTTTTCTGTATGACATAACCTTGTAAATTGAGGGTTTACATGTGGTACTTAACCAAAGAAATAGGAATCTGGCCCTGGCCGGTTTGGCTCAGTGGTTAGAGCGTCAGCCCACGGACTGAAGGTTCCCAAGTTCAATTCTGGCCAAAGGCATGTATCTCAGATGCAGGCTCAATCCCCGGCCTGTCAGGGTTCATGCAGGAAGCAGCCAATTGATATGTCTCTCTCACATCGATGTTTCTCTCTCTCTCCCCCCCTCCCTTCCACTCTCTCTGAAAAGCAATGGAAAAAATATCCTCGGGTGAGGATTTAAAAAAAACAAAACTCATCTGGCCTTTCTAGCGGTGACAACTTGCCCACTACAACATGCCTCTCGCTAAGGATCTCCTTCTTCCCTCTCCAGAAGAGAAGCGGAAACACAAGAAGCATCTGGTGCAGAGCCCAATTCCTACTTCATGGATGTGACATACTCAAAATGCTAGAAAATCACCACTGTCTTGAGCCAAGCACATAGGGTAGTTTTGTGTGTTGGCTGCTCCACTGTACTACTGTCCGCCTACAGGAGGGAAAGCAGGGCTTACAAAAGGATGCTCCTTTAGAAGGAAACAATACTTAAAGCACCCCAAATCAAGATGAGTGGGGAACCATCCCAATAAACACATTTTAGTTTTAAAAAAAGAAAGAAAAAAGAATCTGTTCCAAAGCTGAAGGGAAAAACTATGAGGAATAATTCAGAGAATATTCCTAAAAATTTTCTCCAATGGGAATGTGGACTAGGTATAAGCTTTATGCAATGGGCTGAATTTAGGGTTAGAGTTGACTCCTTGCAAAATAAGATGGAATTCCCTTATAATTTTCTATCGACACTTGAAATGTTTCAGTTTTAAATAGGGAAAACAGGTTAAGAATAAAAATAGATTTCAAAGCAGTATCAAAATAACATGTAGTGAAATAAGAGGGGAGACTCTCATTGCTGTGTATTTAAGAGTCACTTACTGGAGTAAATGTCTATAAAAGTATTTTAGAACTGAATATAAAAGCATCACACATTTAATATGACCAAGAAATACCTTTAAATAAAGCATCTTTTTTTTTTTTCCATAATCCCAGTGAGTGAACTCTCATTTGTTATCAAAGTTCCTAAGATCATACACTTATCCCAAAATTTGCCAATAATTTTTAAAGAAAACCATCAGCACTTATCCTTCTAGGGTTGAACTCTGCTCATTATAAGCTATAGCTATAGCCATCTTACAGTTTTCCAAAAGAGAAGAAACCAGTCTTCTACTGAGAAGCTTTGAGCTTACTAAGCTACTACGAGTATAACAAGAAACTCTTGGGGTTACTGAAATAGCTGTTTTAACTACTAGAAAGACTACACAGATGGTTCAACAGAATTTACTTGTATATTTTCCATTGTCTATCCTATTTGAAGGCATAGGATAGCTTTGTATTAGCTTTCTACAACATTGTGTTTTAAATTTATCCAGTAAACTAAGATGCAGTACAACTTTTATACAATTTAGGAGATTAAAAAAAAAATCTCCACAAAAGAAAGCAACTCAGCGGGCTCTGGTATTAAAACATTTTTCCAGAGTAAACAGATACGCAGTTGTATTGAAAGGCAATTTTCAAATATTTAAATTATACCAAGATTCCTTCCAAGTGTCTGCCTTGCTCATCCAATGCAACCAAATCTTACCCACTGCTAATAATGGGGCATGGATTTTTGGTAAATGTTTATCGTCTTACTTTCCTCATTATCAAAAATCTTTTAAAAGTGCTATCAAGTAGCAAAATAAGTTGCATCAGCTCTCTGTTCATTAAAGGTAAAGGTGCTAATTCCTCAAGGTAGAGGTGCAAATTGTGAAATCACAAGAGGTACAGTTTAACAGTAAGTAGAACATGAAGAAACAGTAACAAGGCCTAAGTACAGAGTTGGAACAAACCAGTTTATAACTGCTCAACTGAGGCTAATATAGGTGCATTCAAAATAAAGTCTGAACCTGGCCAATGTGGCTCAGTGGATGAGCATCGTCTCATGCACCAAGAGGTCACTGGTTTGATTCTGGGTCAGGGCACAGGCTTGGTGATCCCCAGTAGGAGGCGTGCAGGAGGCAGCCAACTGATGTTTCTCTCTCATCCATATTTCTCTCTCTCCCTCTCCCTTCCTCTCTCTAAAAATAAAAACACATTAAAAAAAAAATCACACATAAAGTTTGAGATTATAAGTGGTGTTTAGAATCAAATTTGAAGAATTTCTTGATAAAATATAAATCTGTTCTTTGAAATTCGAAATAAAACTATCAACTGACAGAGAGCTAGAGACTTATTAACCCCTCCTACACAGATAAGGAAATAAGTGACAAAGTCTCTTGCACTGAAGTTATGTATTTTAACAGCTTTACATGTAATATTCATATATAAAAAACTTTAAGTGCTTTTCTCCAATTTAAAAATCTAAAGAATTCAAAAATAAGGCATTCAATATTTGAAAAAAGTACAGATTTACAAAATGTGTATATTCTGTCATGAAAACTCCACACCAACATTATACACTTGGAAAAAAATACAAACAGGATATATTACAAATTTATGTAAGCAATAACTTAGTTCACACCATGCAATAAAAAGTACATTAATCAAGATACACAAGCTTTTATAGGTTCTAAACTGAAGGACTTTTTTTTCTGCAGAATCCTTAAAACCGGTGGCACTTAAAATTTGTTAGCCTTTCTACTGAGAGGTAAATTATACACAACAATGATGAAAAAGATTAACAGACCAGTTGTCTATTATGAATCATTCCAGCTTTGTTCAACAATGGCTGAAACTCTTTTCTCATATTCTCGTTTGTTTTCCTGATAAAGTTGTGCTGCCTGGCTATTTGCTGGACTGTTTGGATTTGGTTCATCCAGCAGAGACTAGAAGGAGAGAAAAAAATGAGATTTGCAGAGTTATTCTCTGTATTGACATGGGTCAGATAAAGGAGCACAGAAGTTATACAAAATGGCAGAAATCAATACTCCATATTTTTAGGTCTAAATACTTTTCAGAAATAGCTTGATAAACATTAAGAAGGTTCCTACTGCTAGAGAACTTAAACTTCTAAAACAAATCTCTCTCACTCGCCTTAAGACCTCTAATTTCAAATAAATTGGAAAAGAACATCTTCAGCATAACTAACACATTAAACTAGGAAACAAGCAGTTTGATTTGGTTAATATACAACACCTATAAATAGCTTAGTGAACAACATTTTCCAAAGTTAAGCTCTATTATTGCAGTTACTTGGCACATCTGACTGTAAGTTGGATAGTTAATCTTGTTCTCTTTAATCAATAAAACGTATACATCTAGCAGCAAAGGAATGAAATAGGAAGGTTAAAAACTGTTTATAAGGTGACCCCAATTAAAGCAAAAGTGTGATAGAAAAGCTTTAAAAAGGTCAGAAAACCAAAACGTTACTTCCGCTCCTCTCAAATCCACATAACTAAAACACATCTCACTCCACCCCTCCGCAAAACTGTCATTCAAGGCCAACTGTGAAATATTCTGCCAGAGTGCTTTGGCAAATAGTTACACTACTTTCTTTTTTTGATATAGAATTTCTTAGACAGGGCAACATTCTCAATGCTTCTCTGCACTTGACAGTTTCTTGAGGTCCCTATGGTTTCTCTAAGCAATCATCTTTATCTGTCCCCAAGATTTTCCATTCTTCTTCAAAACTCCTGGCTACAATTCATGGGCACAAATAATACTTGACCTGTGAGAACATTAACTTACATGTGAACAGGAAAATAACTGTTGATTTGATCTAAGGTGGTCACCAGTGAAAAAGCAGACCAATTGTCTGAAAATCATGGGTTTTTGTCTGAACTCTGTCACTGGTTACGTGGGTGCTGGGAAGGTTAGTTTGCCCACTTGGTCTTTAGATTACTCCTAAAAGAGCTGACTGGATCCCACAGTCTTGAAAAATTATGATGCATCTTAATACACACTTACCTGAATTGATGTTAAAATAGAAGATACATCGTATGTTGGACTCCATCGATTCTGAAGGATATCTAAACATATGCTACCATCAGCATACACTGCAAAGACAACACTAAAACTGGTTACATATTAACTCTGTAATATCTGTTAAGAGAAATCTACCACATAAACAGAACACTTGGCCCAGAGAAAAGTTTTGAACATCAGGCAGTAACTAAACCTCCTTCTGTCACAGAACAACCAGTCTGAAAACTAAGGTCTCTTATTTTCTATCCTTCATCAGGAGGCTGAGTGAGAGTTACACTTTTTCAAGACACCATATAGCAAATCTGTTTAAATTACCTATTTCTAAATATTCTTAAATAAAGCTCTTGAAATGAAAAGGTTATTTTTTAACAGAGCAATTCCACTCCCAGAAGTTATTCTAAAAAAATGATCACGGACATGCAAAGTTTTTTTTACAGATGTTTACTGTAATACTAATTATAAGAGTGAAAAATTGCAAACTACCTTGTGGCCAATAAAGAGGGGACTGGCTAAATGCTACATTCATATAACCAATACCACTACAGCCAACAGAAATTACATACATCTACTCTATGTTAACTAATGTAGAAAAAATACATCTACAATATATTACCTTAACAATTTTCCAAATATTTATATAAGATAATTCCATTATAAAAAATTATATATAAATATTTTTATTTCAGGTATATGCAGTTACAAAAAATTTGTAAAACTAAATGCCAAAATCTAAGTAGTGGGTATCTGTAGATAGTAGGATTATGAAGGATCTTATTTTCTTTACCTTTTCTTGTATTTTGTGATTTGATTTTGCACTGAGTATTGCTTCCCTTTTATAATTAAAAGTCAAAATCAAGGTAATTAGCATGTTTTAGAAGTCTTTAGAGTAACCCAGATCACTTTACATAAAAAGAGTAATGCAGCTTTTTGGGGGTAGACAAGGCAAATTATACTTAAAATGTTCTAACACTGATTATGGTTATGGTTGCACAACAGAGTGAATATACCAAAATCTCTGAACATATTTTAAATGGGTGAAGAGCATGGTACATAAATTATATTTCAATAAAGACGTTAAAATAAAAGGAGTAAACCAGGAAGTTAATAAAAAAGTATTGATAGCAGAAAAAAGGAAAACGAAGTTACTAATATTAAAGGACAAAAAATAACCTAATACATTGTTTCCCTATAAATCTGTTAATCCTATATCTATACACATATATCCCCTGCAGATTCTATGTTTATTCTGCCTTAATTTACAGAGCCCCCTTACTACAATTTGGGTTGATTCAATACCAAGTCTAAGCCAGATAAAGCAACAGAGGAATAAATGGTACGTAACTTGAGAATTTCCCCCAAACAGAAACAAAAAATAAAATTAAACCTGTATTGGACTAAAAAAGGGGGGGAGGGTAGCTGGATGGAAAAAGCAAAAGCAATTAAATCTAGTATTGGAAAGTCACACTGGTTCCAAACACACAAACATACCTCTCTGAGTAGGGAGCTCTATCTGCCTATAGCCCACCCATGCAGTCTGCAATACTAGCCTAGAGAGGACTTCTGAAAATGTTCCTCCTGAAAATAAGCTAACTGATGGGAAGCCACATTTAAAGGAGCAAAAGGTGCCCTAGCCAGTTTGGCTCAGTGGTTAGAGTGTTGGCCCTCAGACCGAAGGGTCCCGGGTTTGATTCCAGCCAGGGGGACATACCTCAGTTGCAGGCTCAATTCCCCAGCCCCGGTAGAGACACGTGAGGGAGACAACCAATCGATGTGTCTCTCGCATATCAACGCCCCCCCCCACTCCAGAAGCAATGGAAAAAATATCCTCGGGTGAGGATTAAAAAAATAAAGGAACAAAAGGTTACAAAAAGGAAAGAGAGCTTAAGTATCGTGGATAAGTCTTTCAGACAGTAATTTATATCCAGGAATATAAAATATATTAGAAGGAAATAGCAAAAAGTCGGCAAAGAGCAAATTTAATTACAAAAGGGTCACTCAGCAATCATTTATGACAAATAGTAATAAAAAACTTCTAAAAGTGAAAATAGGAACAAGAAAAACATGTAAAACTGTATTTTAAAAAGCCTTAGAAACACACAAACCTTTGACCAAGTAATGCCACTTCCAAAAACTTATTCTAAAGAAATATTCAGGATTATTTTCAAGAATATTAGAAGTGCTGAAAACCAACAACTAGACACTGATTAGATAAATTATGGGAAATTCAGAACATTCTGTAGCCACTAAGAATGATCTAAGAATACTTAATAAGGGAAAATGTTCATAGTATAAAAAATTACTTAACTTTACACAGAACATACCAATTCTATACAAGCACTTCTTTGTATTTTTTAAAAGCTAAATTGTAAGTGACAAATTCCTTTCAGTATCTTTTACATTTCTACAAATAGATATTACTTTAAAATCAGAGATGATTAAAACAAAAACAAATTTATCTCAAATCTGAAACCTTGGTAAGATTCCAGACAACAGAAACGTGGCTAATACTGACATGGAGGAAACATCTAGAAGTGGGCCCTGAAAGTGTTAAGTATGGGGCAAGACCTAAAAGGAAGGAAACAAGTATTTTTTCCCCTTCCCTCTATCATTTGCAAAGTCTAACAAAATTGCTACTTACCATTTGGATGAAACATTTTGGATAAAAACCTAACAGTTGGTGGTTTATTTGGATATTCTTCAGAAAATTCTATTACTAGTTTAAAAGTACCTAGATAGAAAACAAACCAAAATAATTATAGTAAAGACAAGCAAAACTTTTCAATCTCTTCATCAATCAATTCTCAACACATACTGTTTTTTGTACCACATAAAAATTAACGTGAATTTTGGTTCAGCACATGAAACGTACTAATATATATACTTCTATCTATAGCAGACATAACACACAGCACTGGCAAGCACTTAGGGAACTAATACTTTCACATACTATTGGTGGGAATGATAACTGTAATATTTTTAAAAGGCAATTTGGTCCTACCTATTAAAACTTAAAATGCACGTTTGGAGAAATAGTTTATTATAGCTTAGAAGAAGGGTGGGTGCCCAGAGGATTTTGAGAGGGGATGACTACCACATGACAAAGGACTCAGATTGGAGGCTTAGGCACTAATGCGAAAGGTCTGTACTGTCCCACAACAATCCCTTCACTTAAATATGCCAAGAATCAATTGGTAACTGCCTACTATTGTTGGTTATAGACCAACACGGTACATTTTGGTCAGTCTACATTAGTATTTTCTGGTCAATAGAAATATAGGCATTTTTTAAATTATGCATTTGTAACAAAGTAAATCTGTTTATAGTAAGCAAAAAAGTTAAGAACTCTCAACTCCAATTCCAAATCCACTTCACAGAAATAGTAGCACTATTAGTGGTTTTGGGTTTATCTTTGTAGACTTTTGTGTGTACTCACTATCCAGAGTCCTTTTATTTTGAGGAAATTCACCTCAAAGGTAAGCTGGTTGGAGAGGTCCTCCCTCTAACTATTACCCCTTAGACATACTTATTCCTATTGAAATCAGTAAGTTTAAACCATTCCAGGTATCTCCACAAGGTTCTTTTCTTATGTCACCAATGCTGTTTAAAATATATATACATATATATGTGTATATATGCCAACTATAACTGAAAAATAAAATTTAAAAAATAATTTCAACAACTACCCAAACAACAAAAACCCTTAACGTAAATTCTAAGCTCCTGCTCCTGGCTTCAGTTTACTCAGATTAGAGGCATGTATTTAGTATAAAATATCTTGTTGGTCCAGCCAGACGTGGCTCAGGGGTTGAGCATCGACCTAGGATCCAGGAGATCACAGTTTGATTCCTGGTCAGGGCACATGCCTGGGTTGCAGGCTTGATCCCCAGTCGGGGGCATGCAGGAGGCAGCCAATCAATGACTCTCATTATTAATTTTTTCTCTCTCTCCCCCCCTCCCTGTAATCAATAAAGATATATTTAAAAAATAATAAAATAAAAATATCTCCTTCACTAGTCATAGATTTGATGTACAAACTCTACCTCTACATTTTGTTTGGAAATTTGGGATTAGGGAGGCCAAAGATATAAGCAAAATCAAAGGTGATATCCATTTCATATTCTGATATATTAATAGAGGTACTACGAAGTATATAATTAGTGAAGACAAGCTTATACCTAATTATGTATCTTTAAAGTTTACATTCTAATTACAAAAATGTACCATGTAAAAATTTCAGGCAAACACAAATACAAAATGTATTTTTAAGCTCCCCCTCCCCATTTTATGGGGTCTCAGGACCCTTTTACACTCTTACTCCCAACAACCACCCACACCAAGCTTCCAACATGAAGTCACTGAATGTGAAGCTGGAAAAAGTGCATGCAATAACATACATTTTATGGTACCTCCACCAAAAATAAAAAATAATTTCATTTAAAAATATTGGCTCTCTAATAATCAGCTTGCAAAAATTTCCAAAACTTTTAACAATCTGTTCTCACAAATCAGTACAAGCTGCTTCCAGCACACCACTGGCTATAACTATCGATATGTGTTGTATTAAAAATTATAACTCAGAAAACCTTAAAATAACTATAAATTCATTACACATTTACCTAAATAACATTTAATGAAGAAAAACAAAAACAAAACAACTATCTTCTCCCCAAGTTAGTGAGAAATAAAGCACTGTTTTACATTTTTGCAAACCTCTTTAGACTGCCTTAACAGAAGACAGCTGGATTCTCTTAGCTGCTTCTGTATTCAATCTGTTGCAATATGCTGTTTTGGTTGAGGAGCATGAAGAAAATCAGGCATCACAAATTATGTAAATGAAAAAGGAGGAGTATTTTCATAGCTTTTTCAGATAATTAGATATTTTTTGATATTACACCAAAGAAATGGTAGGTTTTTAAAGGTTAGTTGCAACATAGAATCTGAAACCATATAAAATAAACCTTTTGCATCACTTACATTTGGAAAATATTGGTTCACTGTTATAATAAATCTTCTAAATGTCACCATATTCCATTATATACCACACACACAAAAATCACAATAGGTAATACCACCTACTGATCTCATCAGAGAAATCTTAAAAGTATTGGGAAGCTGTCATTTTATCAGCAGCAACAAACATTGTCAGCTGCTCTCCTTGGCCTAACAGCTCACTTAGGTCACTTTTGAGAGTATGCCTGCCAAATGCTCAGGCCGAAATAATCAGTTTGTCAGTCATTCTTTCAAGTAAAAATGTTCCATGAAAAAAGCAGTAGTTTAAGTTGCAACTCAAACACCTGCAGAAGTGCTTTTCCTCCAGACAATCATATTTTGGTATATAAAAAAAGTGCTGTACACATACTTCCCACTTCATCACACAGAATATTAAAAAGATGTATACTTGGGTCAGAATTTAATATTAATAATTTCCACTTTTTCATCAAGGTATTTTTTAAGTGAAACTGGCATCTTTAAAATGCAAAAAATACAATGACTATTAGTACACTTAGGTGCCACTGTCTTGATTTGTGCCAAGATGCTGAACTGCTTGAGTCCTGTTTTAGTCACTAATGCTTTTGTAACATCAGAACAAATGTCAATACAGTGAAAAAGGAAAATACAGTAATGTCTTAGTATTGGTATGAAGACAGTTTTGATCACATGGAACCCCTGAAAGGGTCTTAGGGACCTTAAGGGGTTTATGGAACATTCTTGAGAACACCTTGGTACAGGGTTAAAAGCTTAAGTCCTCTATTTAATTCCTAACCCTGACCTAGAGGTAACCACTGATAACAGTGTGGTATATAACCCTTTAACATAACACACACATTTGCATGTATGTACTTAGTAAAAATGTGATATAATATACATTATTCTGTAATGTTGTCATTTGTCCAGATCTACCTTATTCCTTAACAAGTTTATAATATTCCAGAGTCTAGCTATATTTTAATTTGCTAACCATTTCCTCTATTGGTCATTCAGGTTATCTCCTTAAAAATGGCGCTGCATCAATATCTTTGTACAAATATCCCTGCTACATTAATGCTGAAGCTATTTTAATAATTAAAACAAACCTGTTTAACAATTTCTTTTAGAATTGGAAATGTGCTTCCTCTTCTTGTTTTTAAAATGTTTTTATTGATTTCGGGGGGGGGG